ATGAACTGACATTACGCTGCTTTTACTGCATTTGTTTATTTATGTGGTCATAAAAATTACATGAAATTTTCGACATGATTGTAGTGCATCCACTTTGATGTGATATCGAAATTATTTTTTTGCTGTGTAGGAGAATCTCGTAACCAAGCAGAGAAACGCTTCAAAGCACTGGAAAACCGACTGGATAGAAATCCAGAAATGAAGAAGATGTATTCCGATTTCGTACATGAGTACCTAGATCTCGGACACGCGAAGATTTTGAATGAAGATGAGATTAAGGTCAATGGAGCATATTACCTTCCGCACCATTGTGTGTTGAAGCCAGATAGTTCGTCGACGAAATTACGAGTGGTGTTCGATGCATCCGCAAAAACCACAACGAGCTTATCGCTTAACGATGTGTTGATGGAGGCACCTGTCGTGCAGAGCCCATTGTTTGACATCGTGTTGCGGTGGAGATTGCCGAAGTACGCTTTCACTGGAGATGCTAAGCAGATGTATAGGCAAGTTGTGATGCATGCTGCTCATACGAAATACTTGAGATGTCTATTTCGGGATGACCGGACGCAACCAATATTGGATTTGGAGTTGCTCCGAGTAACATACGGTGTTGGTCCAGCTGGATTCTTGGCCACGCGATCGTTGGTACAACTGGCGAAGGATGAACAGAATGATTTTCCGGATGCTTGTGAGGTTGTTTTGAAGTCGTTCTATGTAGATGATGCACTTACCGGAGCAGATTCGCTAGAGAAGGCACGGAAGCTGCGTGAAGATTTACAAGTTTTACTGGGAAGAGGAGGCTTCAAACTACATAAATGGTGTGCAAACGATCCTGCGATTCTTGAAGGAGTTCCGTCAGAAGACCGTGAGAAGCAACTGCGCTTCGAAGAAAGTGATGTGAACGGTGTGATAAAAACCCTCGGACTCTTGTGGGACCCAGTGAGTGATAACTTTGTATTTCGAGTGAAACCGATGGTGGAGTGTGCGGCACCGCAAACCAAGAGACAAGTGCTTTCCGAGATCGCAAGACTCTTTGACCCTCTCGGTGTGTTGGGTCCAGCAATAGTGTTAGCGAAGATAGTAATGCAACAACTATGGAGGAAGAAAATCGATTGGGATGAGCCGATTCCCATTGAAGAGTTCAGGGTGTGGAACAAATTAAGATCCGAGTTGTGTGCAATAAACAACATGAAGATACCTCGTCGCGTTACCGTTGATAATCCGTCGGTGTTCGAGTTGCACGGGTTTTCGGACGCTTCGCAAGCAGCATATGGTTGCTGTGTGTACTTGCGTAGCGTGACCGTTGATGGCATCGTTGAAGTAAAGCTACTGTGCGGCAAATCGAGAGTTGCACCGCTTAAGGAGCTGAACCGTAAGGAGAAGAAAGGAGCACCACCGGAAGAATTAACCACGCCGAGATTGGAGCTGTGTGCAGCTGTACTACTAGCTAGACAAATGAAAACAGTGCGCGAAACCTTGAGTATCGACATTTCGCGTGTCGTGCTAAGGTCCGATTCGAGTATAGTGATTTGTTGGATTAGGAAATCGAAGCCTAACCAACCAGTGTTCATCCGCAATCGGATTGCGGAGATTCGCGAACTGACCATCGATGCTGATTGGTTGCATGTTGGAACGAAGGCAAATCCAGCGGACTTGGTGTCGAGAGGTGTACTACCTTTGGAATTAACGAAAAGTGACTTGTGGTGGAATGGACCGGAATTTCTTCGATCAAGTGTAGTTGATGAAACAGTAAATGAAGAAACCGAAGACTTGAGTGAAGAGACGATTTCAGTGACTGTAGTTACAGTGCCCGATGAAGGATTGTACGAAGTGATTCAGAACAGTAGTAACTTTCGCCGACTACAAAGAGTGTTCGGTTACGTAACCCGGTTTATCCGTAATTGTCGTGCAATGCGAAACGAATCAGAATTTCGTCGTGGAAGATTGAACATTGCAGATTTTCGTGACTCACTGTACACTATGGTGAAGATTGTACAAAATGCAGTGTATCGCGATGAAATTAGAAGCGTCTTGAAAGGTGAACCGGTGAAGGGTAAGTTACGAAATTTGAATCCTGTTTTTGATAAGACGGAGAGATTGCTGCGTGTGGGTGGTCGAATCAGGAATGCCATACTACCGCTCGATCAGAAACATCCATTGATATTGCCGGAGAAGAACAACTTTACTGATATTGTCATCGAAGCAATCCACCGTGAAGAACTACATGTCGGTCTAAATGGATTATTGGCTAAAATCAGGCAACAATTTTGGCCAGTAAATGCGAAGCGTACGATCAAACGCGTCCTAGGGAAGTGCATCAAATGCTTCAGACTAAAGCCGAAGGATGTACAGCAGTTTATGGGTGATTTGCCGATTGCACGCGTCACCGCTGCTCAGCCTTTCGCTAGAACGGGAGTAGACTACGCAGGCCCTTTTTTGTTGAAGCAAGGTCGGTCGAAGACACCGATCAAGTCGTACGTTAGTGTTTTCGTCTGTATGACTACTAAGGCGATACATTTTGAGCTTGTGAGTTCCTTATCTGCAGAGGGATTCTTGGGGGCATTGCACCGCTTCGTTGGACGCCGTGGGAACGTCAGTGAGATGTTTTCTGATAATGGAACCAATTTTGTCGGCGCTGAGCGACAATTGGCCGAATTGCGAGAGTTGCTGAAATCTCAATTGCTGGAGAACAAGCTTGAAGATTTTTGTCAGCCTCGTGGAATCTCGTGGAGTTTCAATCCACCGAAGGCTCCGCACCAAGGTGGACTTTGGGAAGCCGGAGTAAAAAGTATGAAGAGTCATCTGTATAAGGTGATGAACGAATCGTACTTCACCTATGAAGAGATGACAACATTGCTGATTCAGATTGAATCCATCCTAAATTCAAGGCCAATAATACCACAAAGCGACGATCCGATGGATTATGAGGCGTTAAGTCCTGGTCATTTCCTGGTTGGCCGAGAATTGACAGCTATAGCCGAACCGTTCTACGATGGTCTCAAGGAAAATACGTTGTCTCGTTACCAATTGATCCAAAAACGAAAGCAATCGTTTTGGCGAAGATGGTCATGTGAGTATATAACCGGACTACAGAAGCGCAGCAAATGGAACAAAACTCCCACGTTGCTTCGTGAAGGACTGTTGGTGATAATGAAAGATGATAATTTGCCACCGCAAACTTGGAAACTGGGGCGTATTATCAAAACTCACCCTGGAAATGATGGCGTTGTTCGGGTAGTAACCGTACGAACTAACAATGGCACGTACAAGCGATCTACAACGCAAATTGCTGTTCTACCCATAGAAGATGCAGAACGGACCAGCCAAACGGATAAGTTGAGCCATCCGGCTCCTGGGGGAGGATGTTAAGTGAAAATTCTAAACCTGTATTTTTGATTCAGTGTAGAGTAGGTCGATGTCCTATCCCTCAAGCGCAATTTTGACAGTTCCCTAACTTGATTTTCTTGTTACGCGTCTTCCGGTTGGAGCAGGGCAGCAGAGAAAGGATCAGTATATAAAAGTTACCGTAGAGTACGGATGTAAAAAACAAAAAAACTATACAGTCCATTTTTTATTTTGACCGCTGAGTTCCGTCCGAAACAAGACCTATCCGCAGCATTCGACAAGTTGAACAAGGTGTATGCGGTAATCTTCTGAGTTGGTTTCGATCGTATCTTACGGGTCGCCAACTAATGGTTGTCATAGGAGATTACAGATCAGCTAGCTTCTTCACCACAGCAGGTATACCTCAGGGAAGTCACCTGGGACCGTTGATTTTTATACTGTACTTCAACGACGTCCATCGAAGCTCCTCGGTTATCATATGCAGATGACCTATAAATCTTCCTACGAATCCGCTCGTTCGCTGACTGCCACTTTCTTCAATGTCAGCTGAATGTATTCGCTAGTTGGTGCATTTTAAACAAAATGGTAATGAACCCAGCCAAATGCTCCGCTATTACGTTCTCCGATAATATTTAGCTATGATATGCTTGGCTCGACAGTCGAACGCGTGAATCAGGCGTAAGACTTGAGTGTGATCTTGGATTTGCAGCTATCATTTAAGCAACACATTGCATATGTTGTCGATAAGCCGTCAAGAACTTTAGGGTTCATTTTTAGGATAGCTAAAAACTTCAACGACATCTACTGTTTAGCCGGCGCCGGTGGTGTAGTGGTAAGCGTGACTGCTTTCTAACACCCCAATGGGTCTGGGTTCAATTCCAGCCGAGGTCGGTGGGATTTTTCTGAGGCATGAAAATCTCTGGTCACGTCTTCCTTCAGAAGGGAAGCAAAGCCGTTGGTCTCGGCCCATATGTGTGTTGAATTGAATGGGTGCGATATCCTACGCAGGTGTGGAAGCTGCCTTCCTGCACATTCGATTGCCGTCAATGGATGGCAATCGATGTCCGTCGGTGATTGGCACTAGATTGCGGAACAGAGACCGACGTGAAATAAAGGAAAGAAGATCTACTGTCTAAAATCTCTCTATTGTTGGCTTGTTCGATCGACGCTTGAGTATTGTTCAGTGGTTTGGAACTAGTTTGCGGTGCTGAGAGAATCGAATCTGTTCAACGTCGGTTTCTTCGTTTTGTGCTACGTAGATTGCCTTGGAATGATCCGTTTCGATTACTCAGTTACGAAAGCCGTTGTCAACTTATCGACCTAGAACTTCTCCGGCCTAGGAGGGACACAAGCAAAGGGAAAGATCCCTACCCGGAATGTTGATGTTTTGCGTTGGTATCTTATGAGTGGTGGGAAAAGGGCATAAGGTTTTTTTTACAAAAAGCTTGTATGCCCTTTTCACATGTTGTTCTTGAATTATGGGCATTGAATAATTTGCTGCCATCTTACATAATTTCTTGAAAGTATTGAATATGTATGACTATTCGCCCTTCTTCGACCCCCTTTGGCTACGCCCATGACTGAATGTACGAAAGGTAACTATAAGCATAAAAATAGGACATTGGAATGGGAATACAAAATAACCCAATACTCACCAAACAAACACTCTGACCGAACAGTGTGCAATAGTAGCACACGCATGAACCGTCCCCTTTCTCGCCACCATTGGCCCCTCGGTGGCAGGATTTCTTGTGCTCCTCCTTGGACTGGACAATGTTTGCACTAGTTGCGGCGGTGCTGGTGCTCGTGGAAGGAGTTGCTATCGCCGTTGCCGGTGCTGTTGCGGTTGCCGTTGCAGCTACCGCCGATGTCGGTGCCGGAGGAGACACTCCGCCAGTGCCAACAGCAGGCGAGGGATGCGTACTGGTAGACTTTGAACTTACCTTACCAGGTGCGGTTGCCGTGGGTCCGGAAGCAGCGCTGGATCCAGCTGTTACCACCGCACCAACCTTCGGCGCTGTATTGATAGTTTTCGTTACCACTTTACCCGTCGGTTGTTGCGAGGTTACACCTGCCGGGGCTGTTCCTTTGGGAGCGACCTTGGAGGGAGTATTGGTTGCTTGATTTAACATTGCCTTGGCAGGGCTAGCGGAGGCACCAGATTTGCTGGGCGGAGCGTGACTAGCAGACCCCACCAAAGCTAAAGACGGTATACTTCCGCTGCTGGAAGAAACTGTGCCTTTGGAAGCGGTACTGTTTCCATTTTCGGTTTGGGTGGTAGGAGTGCCACTGCTGCTGCTGCTGCTGCTGCTGTTGCTGTTCTTAGCTACGTTTGCCGATTTGCTGTTGTTGCTGTTAGTGTTGCTGCTGCTGCTGCTGCTATTGTTGGTGTTGTTGCTATTACCGTTGCTATTAGTACTACTGCTACTACTGTTTCCGTTGCCGCACTGCTGGGTTGCATTGCTGTGCTTTTGCTCGTGTATTTGCTCCAAATCTCGAACCATGTCCTTCAGCATACTGTGCTCTTTTTGAAGGGTCTTTAGCTCCGTTTCGAGTATTCTACGGAGGAAGAAAAAAAACATCAATCATTTAGATACGTATTTAGGGAAACAATCAAATAAACTTACTTGTTACTCGCCGCAAGTTTTAACGCCTCGACCAATGGTTTCTTGATTTCCTTTTCGAAAATCTCCGATTTCGTTACGGTGTCGGTGAAGCATTCCTTGCAGTCCTTGCAGATGGCACCATCGTCGCTGCAGAGTTTCACGATCGGTTCAATGACTGCGGCCGCCATCGTTGCCGAACTGGGACCCGTTGCCGGGCTGGTAGCTGTAGCAACTAGAACCCCACCGGATGTAATTCCCTCCAGCTTGGCCGTAATTGGTAGATCGTCACCGTTGATAGCAGCCAACGCTTCCTCCGGCAGAATGGAGCTCCAGTTTACACCGAGCAGCTTGCTCTGCATATCGTTGGCTATTAGCTGCCTCAATGGGGAAGCCGGTGTGCTCCAGTTGAATAACCGCGAGCCGGAAACGCTTTCGAAACATTTCATGTCGAACTCAATGTCGGTACCCTTCGCCAAGAAGAACTTGGTGAAATACTGATAGATGACATTGCGCTGCGGAAATTGGAAATCTATAAGAAACCACTCGGCGAAGGCGGACGCCATATCACTCAGCAGAGCCGACTCGGAATCGTCCGATTCCCACAGCAAGTCGAGAAAATGCAACGGATGAATCCGGTCGGCTACTTCCGTTCGCCAGCGTTTATTGATGTCATCGCAGAACCTCTGCATGAAATTCTTCACATCAATGTTCCAATTCTCGGCCATCTTCCTTCGCTCCTCTTCCTTCAGAGGATGATAGGACTTGATGAGAAACTTGGACAAATTCAACGGGTAGAGCATAGCGATAATGTTGATCGCAACCCGACATGCATTGATTTTACACGGTTCGCTTTGGAAGATGCAAAACCGCTTGGGTTCGAGTGTCGTCCAAGTGTACGGTACCCGATCCGGCAGATGCTTGAAAATGGCCCACGAGATATGGTAGAGACTAGTATTATCAACCAATGCATTGCTTGTAGCTACCACAGTGGAACTTGAACTGTCCTCGTCCTTCGCCGGAGAAGAACAACCACATTCAGCTTGCTGTTGCTGCTGCTGCTCCGCTTCGGACGAGTCTGGTAACGCAATTTCCGTAATAGAACTTGAGGACGATCCGGAAGGGGAAGAATTCGTCATGCCATTTACGTGCCTTCTTTCTAGAGCCTGTTTGTCACTGAGAGGTTTGCTGAAAAACTCCCCAATGTAGTCCAGATAATCCCGATCTAACTTTTTGAAAAATGAACACTTTGCACAGTATAGTTGCTCCTTAGACTTGCCCAAACAGGTACCACCGGCGATTAGACAAGTGCAACAGTTGCATTCACTATAAACAGAAAAAAAACGATCAAATGTAACCAACTGAAGCCAATCCCTCAGAATAAACTTACACATAATGAGTGGCCAACGCAAAGTTACACTTCCGACACTGAATGTTTTCGATCGTGGCCGCCATCCGGGGATTGGTGCAAGTGATCCACTTCGTCTTGAGACAATGCACCACATAATGCCAGACCAGATTTCGATCCTCCAGGGCTAACCACTCCACGATGGGCCGATCCCTTTGTCGCAGCACTTCAGGATCAAAGTTGAAATCCGACTCCTTCACTGCCACCAGTAACGAGTGGGCTGAGCTGACCCGCTTCCTTCGTGCCGAATCCTCCTTAGCCTTGTGGTAATCATGCAACAAGGACCAAACATCTCGCCAAATCTGCGAAGTGGAGTTCATCTCATCGTCAAATTGAATAAACCGGTAGACCATCGTTTTATATTCCTCATCGAAGAGCAATTCCTTCAACTTCAGTATGCACTCGGGAATGATCCGTTGCACTTCGAGATACACAAACCGCTGATACATTCGCTTGTTGATCAGACACCAAGTCAGCGAAAATTGCTGCAAATGACCGCGTTGCAGCTCGAACAACAACGGAGACAACGACTTGGCCGAATGGCACAGCTTGTCGTAACCGTCGAGGATATCTGAAAAGAACAATCTCACACTTATTTTGCTTGGCAACATTTAAACCAATACTCACAATTGAGCAGCTCCGTAGGATTATACTGCAACTCGCCGTCGCTGGTTTCGGTGATCAGATCCTGCAGTCCTTGACTGTAGGCTTTCACGATCGACCGTAACTGCAGACAGAGCAGCTCGAACAGCTGGTGCGGATCGCGAGTGTAGAGCATGCTGAACACCAAAATGAACGTCATCTCATTCGACAGTGGCAAGTTCGAACCGAGCGAGATTTGAATGTTCTTCTTGGTGTTGATCCGTCCGTCGGTCAGCCACTTGAGGGACGACTTCTCCATCAACTCCATGTAGCGACTGTACAGTAGCGATTCGTTTTGCCTGTAGAAATGGAAACAAGAATAGAGTTCAGTTTGTTTCTTGGAGAGGAGGATCTCAATGGACCAAAAGTCTTGGGAGGCATTAAAGGGGTAACTACTAACTAGTTCGATGAACATGTTTAAAGCTAAACTTTGTTTATTTCTCATTCATTCTGAGCTAAAATACATAATGATGATTCAAATTGGGCTAGAATAAATCATTGCTGAGGTCCAGAGACAACGTTTGACAGCGTAGCTGTATGTCCAAGGAAATCGAGACAATTACCTCGATCGGAGCGGAAATCGAACCTACCGCCTTCAGATTGGTGATAGGGTCAGGTTAGGCAAGAGTGCCATATAGGACAAGAATGCATGAAACTCTGAATGGTGTTCCTATGCAGCATTGCAGAAAGTTCTGTTTACAATGAAGTCGAAAATGAAAGTATTTATAATAATTAGACATAAAATAAGGATTTTCGAACATCAAAATATTTCTCTCTACAATTCTTGCGTTAAGGCATCACTATTAATGGTTAATGGAAATATTAATGACAAAGAATAGATAAATATTTTCTTTAATTGGTCAAAAGTCACCTTCTTAAAAATGACCCTCACATGGGGCAAGAGTGCTACCCAAGAGGTAAGTCACTCGCACACCAATCTGGGTCATCTTTCTTGTCAGTGTGTCGCAGGTGTGCCGGTCATAGAGCAAGCTGCGATTGTTTGTAAAATACCCAACTCGGTATTTCTGACACTTTGAATGTTTTGGATTGAAATTTTGGTGTGTTCATAGGATAATAAATGTCCTGTGTTTTAGGGTTTCATAATGCCCTCAAAGGCAGACCAGAAACCTAGCCTTTCGTGATATGAAAGCAACGGTCTATCAGCGGCCGGAAAGAGTTGGAACCGGTGGGAAACATTGTTGGAGACCGACTATAGAGGATGATGAATAGACTTCTGTAGATTGTGTTTTGTGTGAGTTGCAGCATTATTTAAACTAAGGCTACTAATGGGGTCTGATTAACTGCTCTCTTGAGCCCACTCTAGAACCTACATTTATTATTTAGATCTACACACTTAGATTTTTCTACCAAGATCGGCTGTGCAAATCTCGGCAAAAAAAGTTTTACTGAGATATCAGCAAACATTTCATTTGTTTGCTGAGATTCAGCTAAGCATTATCTGAGACTCAGCAATCAAATGTCACTTTTGCTGAGATTTCAGTGAAACTTATTTTGCCGAGATTTGCACAGCCGAGCTCGATAGAAAAAACTAAGTGTGTATAAGTGAACTGCTGGTCTGAGTTCCTCTGGTATATTCAATTAGAGGATGTTCCTGAATACACAATCAAACAGCAATGTTTTGAACAACTTCAATGACAGTTGCCCAGTAGTGCTCCCATTTTATTTACAACAATCCAATGCCTACGAGATTGTGCCAATGGATGTACCCAAGCTGTGCCGAATCTAATTTTGGCACAATATGCTGAGTGACAACAACAAACTCAAAACAACCCCTAAAATGGCTCCCATACTTTCACCATGCTGAATCATGAGTCCCTCCTTTTCTCATATCATTGCATGCAAAATAATAACCCAATGCAGGTCAATTGAATATGCCTAAATGAATTAGTTGCAATGAAAGTATGCACAGTAATGACAGTATAATATAGTAATTGAATAAAATTAATATTTACCTGTTAATAATGATCGAAATTGTTAGAAAGTAAGCGAAGTTGTTAGTTCACATAGTTTGGCATTAGCGTGATGGTATATTATTATGATGCTGATTAGACGAAGACTGAAATCCAGGATGTTCGGTTGATCGTCGCTACTTGAATCGCTGAGAGTATCTTCCGAGTCTTCATATTCTGATTCCACCATTGCAGTGAACAATCTTGTCGTGGTTGTTTTAAACTCGCTTCTGTAATTAACCACCTCTTGCCAATAATCCGCCAATCGATCGCTTCTTTCTACATCCTGCCTTGCGCTGATTTTCCATGATCTATCTATCTATCTATCTATCTATAGGGCTTTCCAGATAATCTTTTATGATGGTTCTGTTTCTATGAAAGTAAAATGATGGTCTATTCCTCTATCATGGCAATATGTTACTCCAGCGTGCAGATAGTCAATATCGTTGTCTTCTTCAAAACTTCATCGTTTTCATCTAAAGAAAAGAAAATCGCCACTTGATCAAACCAAATTCAAAGGTAGTACCTGTGGGATGTCGCATTCCAAAAGTTTTGAACCTATTAAATATATTTAATTTTTGCAGCCATCTGAAAATCAAATCAAAGTCAAAATCATAATTCTAAACTTCACAATTATTTAATTTTGGCTAGTAGTTAAATTTCAGCAAACTTTTGGTTCGCTACATCACAACTGGCATCACTAGTGTGCATCTTTCAAAATTTAAAGATACAGACAAGCCCTGGGACCTGGTTGCAGTTAAGTCACCAAATTTGGCATATGGCATGAGATATCATCAATAATTAGTTATGTATTGAATAATATTGTAAAATTCAATAGTTAAATTGAGTGAACAGCTGCTATTGCTGTTGCTAGCACGATTAAAAATCAAAAGGCTATGTTTATGAACAAGAGTTATTCGATTTCACTCCACTTAAGACCCATGACCCTGTTGCCCATAAAGGTTGGCACTCTTGCCAAATTATAGTTAAAAAAAAAATTGAGATGACATTTAGAAAAAAAATCTTCAACAACTTTTGACGAGATTTAATTTGCATTACATTGCTGATTTAAGAAAGCAATGTTATGGACTTGCAATACGGTGCACAAACTCCTATAAATATCCACTGTTTGACATATATACAGTGCTTACCCGATTTTGCCAGCTTTTATCCCGATTTTGTCAGCCTGAAGATTTTGCTGAACTTTTTGATTTTGACGTAGGACTACGTCCGTGATTTCTATATGGGAGTACACTTTGTGAAAAACAAAAATGGAACATGTAACAAAATTATGAAAGATTTTGAACGTTAATAACTCAGCTGCCCCTGGACCAATTTCAATAATTGTATCACCAATCAATCAGATATATTTGTACGCATTTGATAAATTTAAGATTTTATCATTTTTCAAAATATCACTATTGAAAATTGTAACTGTTACTATGCTAATTATAATTATTACCGATTGCCTGCGAAAACCGATTTCCCTAACACAGATTTCAAAGTTGAATTCCATCCGGTTTCACTAAACGGTGATCATTCAATCACCACGTGGTTGTTCTCAAGTACACAACGAAAGGTTCCCCGCAAGCAACTAGCTATCAAGACTGGCCTCAACTAATCGGATTCAGTTCCAATCACCGTGTGTGGTGATGTCCGGTCGTCGGCATCAGCAGCAGCAGCAGTGCTTTCGGCGCGTGGCGTTGCACATTGTTCTCCAATACACAACGAAAGACTTCCTACAAGCAGTGAGCTGCAGCCCACCTGAGCATCCATAGAAGGAGGAGGAAGCCGCACCGCTATTGATCGGAATCAGTAGCTCTTCGTGAGTCGCTGTGGGCCATATATGCCAAGCACGTCACCCTCATGCCAAACAATAAACAGCTCACCAGTCTCATCTGTGTTTAACACCCTAATAGCTCAGCATTACTCAACTATCACGACAAAACGATCCTTTTCAGGACCACCATAAATTTGGAAAAGAGTATTTTTTTTGACATTTGTCAAGGTCATCAAGGATGTCAGTTCCTATATCAAGATAGAGCTGGAATTAGGGCGTAACAGCTTTTGTAAACAATGATTTCTTGCGATGATGTTTTGAAAGTCAAGGCTCGCCCACGCAAAGCAACATCACCATCAGTTAGTGTGAGACTTCCTCTACCCGACGGTTATGTTGTTGTTCACAAAAGCTGTTACGCCTAATTCCAGCTCTATCTTGATATGTTTAAAACTAACATACCATGTACTTTAAGGCAACATTGGGAGTGCGCTTCCAATAACCAAAGTCGGTCGCGGCATGAAAGTGGTCTGATTTTGATCCAGAGATGATGGATTTTAATTTTTAATACGCCAATCGATATGAATTTTTCTACGAATCCGTTAAAATTAAGACTTTATCATTTTTCAAAATGTCACTATTGAAAATTGCACGGATGTGCAATTGTTGCTATGATAATTAAAATCATCACAAATTTTCTGCGAAAGGCGATTTCCCTAACACAGATTTCAAAGTTGAATTCCATCCGGGCTCATCAAACGGTGTTTATTCAATCACCGCGTGGTGTGGTGCTGTACTCCAAAATCAGTAGCTCTTCGTGAGTTGATGTGAGCCATCTATGTCAAGCGCGTAATACTAAAGCGCATAAACAGAGAGAACCCCGCTCAAATTCCTACTCCTACATAAAACACAAACTCCTTGTTAACTGCAGGAGATTATAAGCAGTAAAATTTATTATATAAGACCACGTAGTCCTACGTCACCATTGCGTACAACCCCATAGGGCTGTCTTTTGTAGTTTTTAAGCATGAATTCTCAAGCATTTCACTCCAAATGACACGCAACAATGCGACACTACACAGCTGTATCGAGTCCCTCCCGATAAAGGTAACTAGGTGGCGGATAGAGCTGGGATGGCTACAATACAAGTTATGGACAGATACCCCATTCAAGAAGAAGGTTTCATGATCGCCAAAATTAACGGAATATTCATATGCAGTTGCTACGCACCCGAAGGACGATGGAGCAGTTCTACGAGACGCTGGTTGGACTTACCGATGAGCTGAGGAGGAGACTTCAATGCTTAGGCAGTGGAGTTTGGAAACAGATGAACCAACGCAAGAGGGCACATTCTGTTGGAAGCTCTGGCGAAGCTGGAAATTAGGCTGTTCAATAAAGGCACCACCAGTACTTAACGCAGAGATGGCCGGGAATCCATTATCGACGTCACTTTATGCGGACTGCAGTCCGTCGCTGGTGGAAAACATGTATTGGAGAGTGTGTGAAGGATATACCCATAGTGACCATCAGGCAATCCGATATGGCATCGGCC